TATATAAATTGGTCGAAAGATGACCAATTTTTTCGACCAATTTGTAATAGTCAAAGGAACCAAATTTAATTGGTCAAATGCGACTAACTAATTAAACAATTGGTCAAAATGACCAATTGCTAATGGTTGCAACCTAAAAAATTGGTCATTTCGACCAATCAGTTTTTACAGTGTAGGAAGGTCTTCTTTATTCGAATTGCTTCCCCACGAGCTTTCTTCGCCAAATTCATCGTCGCTTACTGCATCGGTAAACGCCAGAAGAGTAATCCGAGCCATAAACAACTAGATATTAGCCCTGTCGACCAAAAAATTGCTAACACAAATCGTCGAAATGACACAGGAAATATTGCGCCAAATTTTAACATTTTGGTACCATATTGATCACTGGATTCCAGGCTTTCAGAATCCGTGCGTACTTCTATAAAAGTCATTTATTTTTTTGTAAATCAGCAGCGGGCGGAATCCTAGCGTTTTCTGTAATCTGATTGGCTGTAGCAGCGGGCGGAATTTTACGATATTTGACCACGGTCCGGAATCCTATACGTAATGGCCAAAGCAAAGCAAATTTTTTTTGTATGTTTGTTTTAAAACTGAAAAATGTGAATATGAAATTTTGAAATAATTTTAATGATGGATAAAATAATTGTACTGTATTTTAATTGAATTGTTTGTTTTCTAAAGTAAAATAATTAAATATCAAATTTTTTTTATTCGGTTTTGTTCAGTTTCTATATGCGCAATCTAATAAAACCGTTGCCATTTGCCTCTGAGTCTTCGACAAAAAAATAAATACGTTATTTACCGTTTAGGTCGGTATGGTCCGGATAGAAGAATATTTTGTCTTGGTCTCAAAAACGTCCCTCGGCCTTCGGCATCGGGCCGTTTTTGAGACCTCGACAAAATATTTTTCTATCCGGACCTCCCAGCCGGTAAATAACATATATCTTCGCGCCGCATTATGTAAAGAACTTATACTACCTTATAAGGCAAGGCTAATTATTTCTGACCAATGGGAATTTTGCGTACGATCGTACGTATAAATCCACTTTTTATTGACTTCAGTAGCAGGCTCTATTTCAAGCATATATATAGTCTGACACGCAGACTACACTCACTTACGTACGACAACGTAGGTGAGTTGTGTGCATGAGTACACAGTACAACTCAAGTTGTAGACGTTGTAAGCAGGTTGCATGCGACAGTTTTCAGCAAACGTTATGTGGTGTAAATCGGCCTTTAATTAAAGACGCTTATTAGTCGGGCAGATAGAAGGAAAAAACTTACTATATCGTGGGACAATACCATTTTGCCTTCATATTGTGCCCTGAAGGATAATAAGTACGTTTGCGTTAAAATTTCTTGTGGGCTCCTGCCGACACGTTTTTCTTCGAATTTTGTATTAAACTCTATTAGGCCAATGAAAATTGATATCATGTTTCTCGTCCACAATTTTCAAAAATTTGGAGCGGGATTTTTCATTTTTCATTTTTCATTATTTTTTGTATTTGAATTGCTTGTCAATAATTTCCTTGAACCAGTAAAAAACCCCATAAAAATCTCAAGTAAATCGGTGCATAATTCATTTTAATTTAATACGTCCTACACTACAGTATATTTCTATACATACCAGGGCTGACATGAAAAATAGAGGCATTCTGGCGAGTAATATCTTTAGAAAGATACAATTTGAGTTGCGCTTGTGGAATGCAGCAATAAGTCTTTGATCTGCAGGAGATCAATTTGGTGTTTTGTTAAGCCTATTTTTCAAAAATAATGAATAATGAAAAATTTTAGTGCGGCAGATAAATCCCATGCGGGCGGGGACGAGAAACATGATATCAATTTTCATTGGCCTTACAGTTAAAAAATGTGAAATTTCTGATACATTTCTTACATCATTTGAAAGCTTGCAAAAAACTACATATAAGACATTTAAACGGTTACCCGGGTTTTTCAAGTTTTTCTTGAGTTATGAGCTGTTGAATACGTGTTTTCAGACTAGTACCCAGGAATTTTGCGAGATTTTGGCTTAAGTTTCACATTTGAAACAGCAATAACTCGAAAACCGCTTGAAAATCCCGGGTAACCGTTTGAATGTCTTATATGTAGTTTTGTGCAAGCTTTCAAACGATGTAAGTCATTTGTGTTAGAAATGTATCAGAAATTTCACATTTTTTTAACTGTAATAGAGCAGTAATACAAAATTCGAAGAAAAACGTGTCGGCAGGAGCCCACAAGAAATTTTAACGCGGCCAACATACAGAAACGTACTTGCTAGTCTTCAGGGCACAATATGAAGGCAAAATGGATTTGTCCCACGATATAGTAAGTTTTCCATAATTTTGAGCCTTTATCTGCCTGCATGACTATATAGTTTAAAATGGTCCACTCCTATATCAGTTGGATCCTGAGTGGAAACAGCTATAGGATTTAATGTCTTTTGTTATGCTAGGTATTTGCTTCCCGAACTTCTTCATCAATCGTATTGAATAACAGAGGAGCTATATAGAGAGTCACTTATAGTGTTCCACCCATGCATGCACTTTATTTGAAATCATAGTCAATCAAGATATAATATGGAGAAACTGTGCGAAAGTTTCATTTTGTCCATGACCATGTTTCTGCAAACTTGTGCACGGTAACTTTTGGCATAATTAAGGAAACATCCAGTGGAACGATCTCGTCGAATCACTCAACCATATACTGTTGAAATATTAATTAACCGAAATGTCAAAGGATCTGTGCATGATGAAACTGTTGATCTCAACATAAAATTGTAGCTCATTATAATTAGAAGTTTGGCGAGTTTCCAGACCATAATATCTTGATTGACTATATTGAAATTTCCTGCTTTTAACTCCTCCTTTGCAGGATATTTATATAATTCAAATTCCTATATAATGATTAATGAATCCTGCGCTCACAAGATTAATTACAAGTAATCGCAAATTTCAAACGTTACATTTACGTTTTCGCCCAGTCTCGTTTGCACTAGATAGATAGTGATCGAGTCATTATTGACATTTGTTCTTTCTTTGCGGTTGGTTTTCAAACTGTCCATGCTACAATAGTTCCATATGCAATGACTAATCTAGATGGCTATTAGTAAAACACGGAGCACGGAGCACGGAGCACACGGAGCACACGGAGCACGGAGCACACGGAGTACGGAGCACACGGAGCACGGAGCACACGAAGTACGGAGCAGTAGAAAAACGAAAATCCTTTATAATAAAATACACTGTTTACTATTACAAATTTTTGTTATTATTAACAAAGTTTTTTCGCGTATTACACGTTGGGGAAGTAGGAAAATGGGGCTTTTACTGAAAAACACATATGATGCAAAACCAGGCTGCCAAAAGCCATAGTATTTAAAATGGGATTGTGAAACTCGTTATCTTACATCTATCAAGCTTATGTAGTTATATTATATTCCGATGGGCAACACATAAAGAAACACTTACTGTAGAGAACAGCCGATATATTTCGTTACCCCTGCCAAAAAATAGCCAAGTATACTCATCTTTCAATGTAGCGGATCGACTGAACATTAAATCTTGTGATGAGAAAAGTGAATTTTCGGTTTATCCTTCGGCTCAGTGACCGGTGGCAGTGATCTGTACGGCCGGCTAAGTTTAAACCGTTATACAGTACATCATTACTGCTTTCATTCTTTCAATTCGTTTTGAATATTCGGAATCATTCACAACATTATAAAACTGTATAAGATAGCTGTAGAACTATAAATGCTGTAGAATGAAATAAATAAAGAAAAGTAAGTTTTCAAATCGCGGTATTTGCCGATATCGGTAATCGCTACAGAAAAACAGAACAAATTACAGTATTAAAATCACAACAAACCGCGGAAGTGGGACAATTTTTGTATTTTTACTGTAAGACATGTAGAACATGTACGAAATCCATACAGAAGTGTGTGTGTATTCTATACTTTTGAAACAACTAAATCAGACTTCGGAAAATTTGACCGTATTAAAGCTGCTTTTGGGAATTTAGATTTTTAGGTCTTCGTTTTTATACATGTACCCAGACCAGTAAATATTTTTGAGTTTTGAATTTTGTGTATAAATCAACACCAACGCCTCAAAGGCGAAAAGGAGGGCAAGATTGTTAGAATTGCTATTGTAAACATGAGCAGTTTCGAGAATAAACATAAAATTGAAACGAGTAATTTTTACACATCTGATTGACTAAATTCGGCTATTAGTAAAACACGGAGCACGGAGCACACGGAGCACGGAGCACGGAGTACGGAGCACACGGAGCACGGAGCACACGGAGCACGGAGCACACGAACTACGGAGCAGTAGAAAAACGAAAATCCTTTATAATAAAATACACTGTTTACTACAAATTTTTATTACAAATTTTTGTTCTTATTAATAAAGTTTTTTCGCGTTTTACACGTTGAGGAAGTAGAAAAATGGGGCTTTTACTGCACATATGATGCAAAACTGCCAAAAGCCATAGTATTTAAAATAGGATTGTGCCTGTGAAACTCGTCACATATCTATCAAGCTTATGAGTTATGTAGTTATATTATATTCCGATGGCCAACGCATTAAGAAACACTTAGAGAACAGCCGATATATTTCGTTACCCCTGCCAAAAAATAGCCAAGTACTCATCTTTCAATGTAGCGGATCGACTGAACATTATAAAAGCTTGTCATGGAGAGAAGTGAATTTTCGGTTTATCCTTCGTCCCAGTGACCAGTGGCAGTGTGCTGTACGGCCTACGCCGGTTTAAACCGTTATACATAATTACTGCTTTCATTCTTTCAATCCGTTTTGAATATTCGGAATCATTCACTATTATATTATAAAACTGTATAAGATAGCTGTAGAACTATAAATGCTGTAGAATAAAATAAATAAAGAAAACTACGTTTTATCGCGGTATTTGCCGATAAATCGGTAACCGCTACAGAAAAACAGAACAAATTACAGTAAATCACAACAAACCGCGGAAGTGGGACAATTTTTGTATTTTTACTGTAAGACATGCAGAACATGTACGAAATCCATATAGAAGTGTGTGTGTATTCTATACTTTTGAAACAACTAAATCAGACTTCGGAAAATTTGACAGTATTAAAGCTACTTTTGAGAATTTAGATTTTAGGTCTTTGTTTTACATGTACCCAGTAAATATTTTTGAGTTTTGAACTTTGATTCTCACAAGCTTACAATTTGTTTACAATTTACTCTGCCTCTGGCTCTGCCGTGCTGCACGGCAGAGTTGATCGGAATTGTAACAAAGTACGCGTACACTTAAATGGCTTCTTGAATTTAGTCAATCAGATCACAGGGGGTCCAACTAACAGCTGTGTTATGAATAAAACATATTAATTAAACGTAATATGAATAAAACATCATAACGTAATATTGCACTTACTTGTATAAATCATAAGAGCTTGCATTTTAATACAGTGAATAGCTTCAAAAACTTGCTTCGTTCCAAAGACTTCAAATATGGCGAATAAATTGACAAAACGATAATATTACATGACGTTCCAACGAAAATAACAGAAAGGATTGCGGGCGCGAGCGGAAAGGCGAGGAAAGAAATAAATAGAAGGGATGAAACAAATATCACGTGACTTTTTAAAATGCTTCTAGACTATCCGTTTAAGCTTTTTGTGGGTTTTTTTAAGGCTCAGTCGATGTTCTCTTACATGAACAAGCCTAGTCATTACCAAAAAAGCACTGATCAATCTAATTTATGTGATTTATAACAGCGAGCATTCTTGGCCATTATCGCGAGATGTGTTCCATAAGTAGCCTGTTCTCGTGACGTATGACGAAATAATAATAAAACTAAATAATATAAAAAAAAACGTTGGTCGCTACATTTAAACATTTCATATTAGCCGGTATAGCTAAACATTGTTTATTTTCATTAATTAAGCGCGTAGGCGTTGTTGGAGTTGGCAGGAGGCGTTTTGGAATTTTCCGAGAGAACAGGCTACTTATGGAATACATCACACGATCGCATTACCGGTGTTTCATCCCTTCTATTAATATATATTACCCTCGCCTTCCGCTCGCGCCCGCAATCCTTTCTGTTATTTTCGTTGGAACGTCATGTAATATTATCGTTTTGTCAATTTATTCGCCATATTTGAAGTCTTTGGAACGAAGCAGAGGCAAGTTTTTGAAGCTATTCACTGTATTAAAATGCAAGCTCTTATGATTTATACAAGTAAGTGCAATATTACGTTATGATGTTTCACCCATATTACGTTTAATTAATATGTTTTATTCATAACACAGCTGTTAGTTGGACCCC